ATCAGTTCTCCAGTGGAAGAAACTGAAATGCTTCTAACTCTAAAAACATGGTTTAACTTGGTTGGAAGACTCTAGAAGTAATATGATGTTTTTTAAAAGCTCAACTAAACTTCTTATAATACATCCCCACCTAATGTATGGCCTAATTAAATAACACATGTTTCATAGAAAGTCATCAAGATAAGGTATGCCATAGCAGCATCCAGCGTCAACAGGAATTAATTATCCTCTTGTCCAAGCACCCTTATTAGGCTTTAGAATGCCCTACCCAATGAAGCTAAAGCTCTGGTTAGCTAAAAATAAACTACATAAACCAAAACACAATACACTGCATATTAAATTAGATTTAACCGTGGGTTTTAACTTGCGCACTGGTGACGTACTCAATTCTAGATTGTCATAGAACTTGTGGTAGTCAGATGGCACAACAGACTTCTTTTCTTGCATGTGTTTGAACTTTCTACCCTGGTAATGTCTTTATGGAGAATGTCTGTGGACTCACCTTGCTTCAAAGACAGATGTGACCAGTCATCATCAAATCTCAGTTTGTATTTAATTTGACCATCTGGAGTGTATTGAAGTGGTCTAATTAAACTCTGGTTGGTTAGTTTGATGAAATCAGAAAAGATATAATGAGTCAAATACTTGAAAACATATGGCTTCACTTTCCTACTTTCTTCCATTAGCCTAACATAATCAGCTGGGCAGTAGATGTGCTGTGAGCACTGTCCACCTCCATCTGTGTATAGCCCTTCTCTAGGAATTTTAGTATTACAGTTTTACCATTGACAGAGCTGAAATGTAACAGTGAAGAACTTATTGTGACTTGGCAGTTCTGATACAATCACATCCATCTGAATGTAATGATCTGGAGTCAAATCAGATGACAAAAAATCAGCCACACAAGGAGCAAATTCATTTGCAGTCAGAGCGCCTTCGCATTCTTTTGAGACATAACGTACACAGTCCTTGCTCTCTAGTTCCTATACTGTGAAATTGTGTACATTCAATTTTGTCCTGTAGTACAAAGCAGAAGCATTGGTGCGTTGATATAGCAGAACTGATTGCAGGTCCATTGTGATGTATTTGATTTTGGGGCTGCCCATGTATTTTTCCTTGTCTGCTGTCTTTTTTTGTATGCCCCCTCTTCCACATTCCCCTCTTCAAAGCCCACGCAAAGATCACACCTATCTTTTTGAGGATGGAACAATGACAGGTTCATAGCATTGAACTCCTCTTTAAACTTGAAGGTAGAAAGTACACCCCCC